AGCATGACTGGACCGCTTCGCAGGGCGTACAGTCTATCCAGACCGCTCGCCGGGTATGTTGGCCTACAGCACAAAGCATGACCGCCTCAACCCAACCCCAATAAAACAAACATGTGCACATAAATATCATACGCTAGCTCATATCATGTAACAGTCAAACCAATCTAACAAATCACTAATCATAGCAACATCCCAATAACCAGGATACAAACCTAACCGGTCACTAATATAACATCATCCTATAACCTAGACACCGACCTAACCAGGTCACTAAACATAAGCATATCACCATCCTAACTACCAAGATGTAATCAATAAACATATCATGCTATAATCCGGATACAAATCCATAAAGGGTCGGCCTTGGTGCCTTAGATCCTATTGATATAGTGAGTATAAACTCACCTGGCACTGCTGAAGTCCCGCGGAAGAAATTGCAGCTGCTGGTTGACAGATTCCCAAACTGCCAACATCAAACAATACTCAATTAATAATTGGATTCCAAGCCCAAGGTCCAACTACACTCTAAAGGGCCAATAGTCAAATAATGGGCCAAGGCCCAACATATGGCCCAATTTTCCAAATTAGGCCCAGACCTCTACATGGTCTTTCCTTAAGGCCCATTCATTTATTCTAGTCCAAACTCTTGGTATTCCCATGGCCCAATATCACATAATCATCAAAGCCCAGTTATGGCCCACCTATGGCCCAATTTTCCAAATTGGGGCCAAGTCCTTCACATGGGCCTTACCCTAAAACTCATCCAGTTATTTTAGTCCAATTACTTGTTCTTGGATAGCCCATCAATAGCCCAATCACTAAAGTCCAATAGAAAATCCCAACTCAAGGCCCAAGTGAAATTAGGGTTTTCACATGAAATGACGATTAGGGTTAAATGTTTCTTACTTAATCCATTAAGTCCAATATTGCCTTAGGTTAATTTGCCAATGATTATTAGTTAATATTTTAAGTTTATTAAATAATTTCCGTGTGTGTCCCGATCAATTCCGAAAAATTAGATTTTTATGCCATTAGGGTTTTCCAAACCCTAATTAGGGTTTTCCAACCCAATACTAGCCCATTAATCAAATGGTTGGGCTTTTAGCTCAATTAGGGATTCATTGTGCCTATTAGGGTTTCATTGGGCCCACTAGGGTTTCGTTGGGCCCATTCTGTCCAATCATCCCAAATGAGTGAAAACACAGCAAGGCACATCGCCACCCAACACGGCGGCTGGTGGCGACAAGAGCGCGGCAGCCACCACCTCATGGTAGTGGTTAGGAGTTCTTTTTCATTATTCCGACACGGTTACAATTTTTACAATGAAATTCCCAATTAACACACACAAACTAAATAAACACACACACACATCCATCCTTATGGTGGTCAATGGTGGTAGATGGTGGCAATCACCACCTCACGGTGATAGTGGTGGTGGCTTTTCCCGCCAAATAAACACCTAACACCGCTTCACTATAATAAACAGATGCACACACAAGTCTTATGTTTGCTAAATAAGCCCAGCCACCCACCTGGTGGCGTATGGCGGTGGTAGTGACACAAGAAGGAGGCTAACAGTGGTGTTGACGGCGACACAACAGCTGCTGACGACGGCAACCACCATGGTTGGTGGCCATGGTGGATTGTCTCGGGTTTTTTCTGACCAAACAAGGACATACACCCGCATACTGACTCACAATAGCGACAACACACACATCCATCTCTTGTTCGGACAAACGCACACAATCACCCACCTTACGACGGCGTACAAGGACGGGGACAGCAGCACCAACGACAATTAGCGATGTTTGATAGCGGTTCACCGTAACAACAGAAGAAAGAGAAGAAGCACATGTAGCTACCACGATCTCATCGGAGGTAGCACAACGACAGTAGTAATGCAACAATGCAAGAAAATGGTGAGAACAACCGCAACTTCATTTCCCTGTAGGAGGATAAACGTGATGTGATAAGCTCCGTGGTTTGGGATCTCCACATCGGTGGCAGAAGTCGTAGAAGAAGGCTGCTGCAGTGGGGAATGAAGGATGTGCCTCCACCGGAGTTCGACTCGACAGCAACGGTGTTGTATGGTCTTCGTCGCTGTCGTGCCTGTACCGATGGTTGGCTTCGATCGGCGACACTAGTTGGCAAGAAGGCGACCGGACATGGCAGCAATGGAAGTGGCGGCTGGAGGTCAATGGTAGAGAGGGTAGCGACTACATAGTCGTGATTTGGGTTAGGGCTACCGGGGACACGGGTTCATATATCCCGTCCCTATCAAACTTTGATCCATATTGACAATATCAATCCCTCTTTCCTCCATTTCTTTCAAAATAAATCCTTAATTTACCATTTAACCCTCCTTCTGAAAATCCTTACAAATCAAGTCCCGAAATTACCAACCAGCCCCTAACCCTTCAAATCATTTCAATTTAAATCCAATTGTTACTATATGGCCCCTCGATGACAAATTCTTTTCAACTCAGGTCTAGAATTTACACTTTTAACCCCCGAATATTCAAATCTTGTCATTTGGCTTCCCAAAACCGACGTCCCGCTAATTATTATTTGATTTTGGGTTATAATAATATAAAATAATAATAAAATTACTTTTCGGGGTTCCGAGTTTATTATTTAATCATTCTATTTTAAACGAGATGTTACAGTTTTGGTTAATGATTTTATTATTATGAAATGAAATTTTTTTGGTTTTAAATTTTAGAACGTTACAATAAGAGTATGTTTGAGAGTTCATTTGAAACTCTTTATTGACCTGTTGGGAAAACCAAGTATTCTTGGTTTTTTGAAAAAAAAAATCATTTTTTTTGTTTAAAAAGATCCTTATCAAATATTTTTTTTTAACTTATTGATTTTTTAAAAAACCAATAAATTATTTTACCAAATGGATGCTACTAAGAAAACCCTAAAAGGTTTTGAGTGGGGAGTTTTAGGAATCGTCAAATCAAAGGTCTTTTATTTGTCATTCTTTTATTTCTTTTTTCCTTTTATTTTTCTTTCTTTTATATATATATATATATATATATATATATATATATATATATATATATATATATATATATATATATATATATAAACAAGTTTGTATATTTTGAAATCGTTTTAATCTTTCTAATTGTTGTATTATCTTTTCCTTATTTTTTTTAATGTTTTAATTAATTGTTTTACTTGTTTGTTTTCAAGCTTTCTATAAAGTTCTATAACGTTTCAAATTTTTTACATATGTTTTTTGTGTTCAATATATCGTTTTGCATTTCTTTTAAAAATTAACATTTCTAAGAAGAAACGAAACCAAACCGAATCGAATACATAAAATTTACTAGTTTGATTAACGAAAACTAAGAAAATCAATTTGAAAACCGAAAACCAGTGCATGGGAACCATTTAGGGATTTTGACAATTCGATCTTTTAAACATTTGGTTTTAAATTCGTCTATATAAGATCTTATTGTTTTTCTTAAATCAAACTTATTTCAATAAAAAATAACTGTAAAAATATTTTTAAAAAACTTGATAAAAAAACAGAAAAATAATTGATTTATTAAAAATATAATCAAAATAATAAAAATAAAATTTTACTAATAAGATAAATGTAAATATTTTAAATTAATTGTTTATATATATATATATATATATATATATATATATATATATATATATATATATATATATATATATATATATAGTTTTTTTTAGGACTCCTTTGTGAAATTAAGTATAAAGGGTTTGACATCTTTAAAAAACATTTTTACGGTTAAAAATCTCGATTTTAGTCTTAAGATTTTACAATTTTACGATCTTACAAATCAAAAACGATCTCGATCACACTATGATCCTGATCTAACCTCATTAGTTTTATTATATAGTTGATTTTTAAAAATCCATCTATTCAAGTTAAAATCGAGCATCATAAGTTGCAAGAAGTCTGGTAAAACATTAACATTTCACAAAAATATATCTTGAATTAGGCAAAAACATACTTATAATAATCTCTTTGTGATATTATGTCTTTAGTTGTACGTAATCAATTTTTTTTTTTCTAATTAAGATATTTTATTCTTAATTTTATGGTTTGTAGGAAAAAAATTTATGGTTCATACGTAAGATGTTAAAGTTAATTCTATTATAGACGTCTCTTTCCATGAAATTTGAATATGAGTTCCTTTTAGTATAAATTTTCAATTCCAGTCCGATCTAACGAAAAATCACGCAAAACGAAAAATCTAGGTTGTATAAAAAATTAGCATTTGAGGCCGTTCCAAAAATTAAAAGAAATAAAAAATAATAAAATAGCATTTGAGGTCAAGACAAAACCCGAATTCAACGGCTACAATCTCGTGCTCTCTGCCCTAACCGGAATCATAAGACCGACGACAAGATCGGACCAAATTGAGACCCACATTTCTATTTTCGGTAACCATTTTTACAAAATCTGAAATATTCATCGTCAATCCATCCTCTTGATCAATATAAGATCAGCGATTTTTTCAAATGGGCTTTTGATTCTTTCCAAATCAGGTAAGAATCCACACAGTTGGAAAAAGGTTTCCTCCTTCAGAAACACCCTCAAAATTTCACTATCCCCCATTGTTTCCCTAATCCTCTCTGTTTTCCTCGATTTTCACTGTTGAATCTATAATATTTACCCCAATCGTTTCAAGATTCAAAGCTCCAATTTCGAGCTATTGGAAAAGAGCCCTTTGATTTGAGGTTATCCATTGGGGTCTTTCTGTCGAAAGGGCATTAGGGTTTTGCTCTTTTGTGTTTCTGAATACAGAAATTGACAATCATCGTTTACCTAAACTTTTTTTTTTTATTCATTTTTTCTTGTATATATATTGTATATTACGTATCGATCGTTTGGAGATCTGAAAATCATCGAACTCCATTTTGATTGTGTAAATATTATATGTTAAATATTATTGATTAAAATTATTTAAAAAAAAGATAGTAAGAAGGTAGAAGCGGGTGAAATTCATACAATGTCAGTTGCTGACGTTGCTTTGAGTCCAATTCACAAAAGATCCGGCTCCGTTTGTTCCCGGAGCAGTGAATCCATCGTGATTTACTTGACAGTTGCAGGTTCTGTGATTCCGATGCGAATTATGGAATCCGATTCCATTGCCACAGTCAAACTAAGGATTCAAACATGTAAAGGGTTTATAGTGAAGAAACAGAAGCTAGTTTTTGGAGGGAGAGAATTATCACGAAACAATTCTCTCCTAAAAGATTACGGTGTTTCAAGCGGTGATGTTCTTCATCTGATTCTTAGGGTTTCTGATCTGCTTGTGATAACCGTTGAAACCGCTATTGGGAAAGCATTCGAGTTTGAGGTTGATAGATTTAGAAATGTGAAGTACTTAAAACAATTGGTGGAAGAAAAAGCTAAAGAAATTGGATTCATTAATGGCGAAGACTTGAAGATTCTTTGTAACGGTGAGAAGCTCGATGATCACAAGCTGATTGATGATATCTGTAAGAATCACGATGCTGTGATTCATTTAGTTGTGCAAAAATCATCTTCACCCGAAAGAAATCACGAGAAAGACGAGCAGAAAACGAATCCCAAGAAACCACCAGATATTGATTCACCATTACAACCAATTATCGTGAATCCCGATTCAAAATTATCCCCCGATATATCTAATATGATAGATTCTGCAACCGAAGGACTTCAGAAAGGGAAAAAACCAATCAGATCATCAGAAGGCACCGGAGGGACTTACTTTATGCAACATCCATCCGGGAACAGATACGTCGCTGTTTTCAAGCCGATAGATGAAGAACCAATGGCGATTAATAACCCTCAAGGGCTACCTGTGACCTCTAATGGTGAAGGGTTGAAAAGTGGCACGAAAGTTGGTGAAGGCGCTTTGCGGGAGGTGGCGGCGTACATACTGGACCACCACCCCTAGGAGGAGCGGTTTTGCAGGTGTACCTCCGACAGTGATGGCAAAGTGCTTAAACGGAGAATTTAATCATCCGGAGGGTTATGATGGTGGAGCGAAAAACGTTAAGGTTGGATCTTTACAAATGTTTATGAAAAATTGTGGAAGTTGTGAGGATATGGGTCCTCGGGATTTTCCGGTGGAGGAGGTTCATAAGATTGCAGTGTTTGATATACGAACCGCTAATGCCGATAGACATGCGGGAAACATTTTATTGAACCGTGAAGGTGACCGTGTTGTTCTTATTCCCGATCGATCATGGCTACTGCTTACCCGAAAACGTAAGTATCATTATCAGAGACTAGAGACGAGACAGGACAGGACTGGACTGAACTAAATTGATAACCAATGCACTTTACCTACCATGTTGATTGTGGGGCCCACCTTTGTGGACATTGTGATTTAGGTGTCATTTATACTTTTTTTCAGTTTGAAGATTGCACGTTTGATTGGCTCTATTGGCCACAAGCGCGGGAAGCATTCTCAAATGAAACCCTAGAGTACATAAAATCACTAGATGCAGTGCAAGATCTAGCCCTCTTGAGCTCAAATGGGTGGGACCTATCACACGAGTGTGCACGCACCCTACGCATCTCCACCATGCTTCTGAAAGAAGGTGCGGGTAGAGGATTGTGTCCTTACGCGATAGGGCGGATTCTATGTAGAGAAACACTAAACAAGGAATCTGTAATTGAGAAAATTGTTCAGAAAGCTCACAAGATGACATTCCCTGGAACGAACGAAGCCGACTTCCTTAAAACCGTTTGGAACCTCCTGGATTTTGAGCTGAATAAGGTTTCAGAGATGTTTATGTGAGGTCTTAAGGGGTTTGTGTAGTTTGTATATGTATATTATTATGTACGCGATGTAAATGTGTGGATGACTAACTTTGTCGTCCAAGAGTGATGACATTTTTAACAAGTATCAACTCTATCTAAATACAGAATTCTAAGGTTATATAAATAAACTTTTCGCTTTTAGATTAATTTAATGTTTGTTACATTCAACAATGTTATTGTAAAAGTTCCAACATGAGTCAATATTTCAAATGAACTAAAGCTTATTGTGTACCGAACTATTCTTGATAAGTGAATGAGCAGAATTTTTTTGAGCTTATTCTTTTCTGTTTTGGCTAGAATAATCAACTTATTTAGATGATTATTCGCTTAGTTATAGTGCCCTAAACAGGGTAGTATATTGCTGTTTTTTCAGCATTTCAAGTTTGTGCAGTTTTTATTTTATACAATTTAGCTCCAGAATCAACTTAATTGGATAAGTTTTGGCTGAGTTACAAAGCTTCAAACATCCCTGGCTGGTGTTCTTAAAAAATCGGTACTGATGGGAAATGGTACTGCTTCCATTACCGGTATTCCATATTCGGTACCTATGAGTTAGTTATTTCGGTTTATGCAATATATCCGTTTGAATGACATATGTTATGAACTAAATATAAACATCAATAGTACAATAGACATGTACTATTAACGATCCAAAGTCCACAGCAAACACATAAGGCTTATGTGATAGGTATTCATAAAGTTTTGAACGTTTAAGCCTTCCTACATAAATGTTGGTGATTTGTATCAATAATATTATTTAAGTGTAATGAGATTAATTTGATGATTGATGCAATCTTGCCGAATACTAAACGTGCACATTTATTTGAATGTATTCAAGATTCAAAGTACACTGATATTTAGCCCCTAAATCGACGGGGTCCAGTGGCAACACCCTTGATAGTGGGGTCCTAGGGGTTGGCAACCACTGACGGGCCCCGAGGGGCAATGAATTTTTTTCTATTTGGGGTTAATATTGCTTTGTGGAAAATGCATTAAAATCCGAATATGAGAAAAATAACCCAATTTTCTACCCTAATCTTATACCAGTTTTAGCGACAGTTTGAGATGGTGGTTTTTTGGCAATTTGTAGACAAGGTAGTTTTCAGACAAATGAGTTATCTCCTAGGGGTGGCAAATCGGGCAATCTTGTCAAGTTTTAGTTTAACACGATATGATATCATGTTTTTTTAACTAACACGTAAACAAACCAATTAAAAACAACAAACACAACCATATATGACAAAGATAACAAAAATTAAGAATTAGTTTATTTAATTAATATTTAATCATTCATAACACGACAAATACAAAAAACACGACAGAAAAATGCTACTTTTGTGTTGAATTTTGAACACAAACACGACACGAGGCCGTGTTTTTTTACATTTGACACGAACACAAATTCGATTTCAGTTTCATCCCAATTTCGTTTCGTGTCATCAATTGTCACCCCTATTATCTTCTAATATTGGTAATTCACGGTTTTTTTTTTTTTTTTTTTTTTTTTTTTTTTCTGTACATCACAAGATCATATCATCCTTTCATTCTCCAATCTTGATATACACTAAGTTTTATCCGATCTAAAGATTTCGAGAGTAACATCGAAATACTTTAATCTCAATGTGTGTAATTACGATTCTCAGTTTTCCAAGTATTCTGAACACCCCGATTTTCTAACAATAAAGATAACATGATTCCCGCAAACTTTCCAATTTCAAGACCTACAACTCACATTGGAAACTTTTAACTACTCACTTAAGAAAAAAATTTCCAACTTCCTCGAGTGGTGCAAACAGTATGGAGACAAACACTCCCTAATATACTTGTAACCATATTTTCACATTGCGTGTGCAGACTCTTGTGACAATCACACCACATCAGCACTCACTTTTTAGGACCCACTCCTAAGTAATCTGGCATTAATTGTCTATAGAGTTCAACTTTTTCAGCTCGCCTCAATTTGGTTCTCACATCACTATTGGCATCCATCCCTTCCTATGAATAAAATCGTACAAGACCTCAAATTTCAAATATTTTTAAGCTGCTCAAAATTTTAAATGACTATGATTCCATCGATACATGACAGAATGCCAACACAAATGTTCGTATTCTCATATCGCTCAACTTACAAAAAGAATATAAGGGATACCAAGCATATTGCTTTACATCATAATGTGTGATATTGAATTTCTAAGTGAATTTTGTGTTCAAATCTAAAAACCTGGTCAATCAAGATTATATAAACAAAAGCCAACATGTTCGACCTAATAAATAGGTAAAAAAAATAATAATGATAAAAAAACACCATTTTTAAGACGATAGATACTCAACTGTAGACTCTAGTCTCCAGCTTCTGATTACTTATCCACCATTGATGAATCCCATGAGCTTCCTTGAAATCAACAGCAGGAGTCAAATTAATGGTGAGATTGGCTGAAGGAAGAAGATGAAGTGGTTCATGAGACTCTTTCCCAATCGCATTCAAAAAAGCACCAGAAATAGAATGCTGAGTTGCCAGCTTTTCAATCCCACCAGCTCCTATCTCCTCCATCTTTTTCCTATGTTCAAAAATACCCAATATACTCTGAACAAATATGATCACCTGGATTCACAAACAAACACGGGACCCACCCAGCCAATGCAAGAAACGAATCTTCTGGCGGATTACTGTTTCTTTGTTGATTCGCGTTTCTGATCTGTGCAGCAACAGCAAGTCCAGCTGTCAAGAAACTGCTAGCAATCCGAATCCCCATGTTTCAGATTTTGATCTTTAATATTCTCAATTGGGGCCGAAAAGAATGGTGGATTGAAAAGATACGAATCAAGCAAGATCCCGGATTTTGCCATTTTCTTTCCCGCTAGCAAAGCCATGGCGGATCCTAATGAATGACCGGTCAACCATATGTTTGACTTTGATGTTTGACCGGATACAATGTTTTTAACTGCTTGCATGGCGATTTCGAATCTTGATGTTTGATGTAATCCGTTTTTAATGATGTGGATGTCCAGTTCTAAGTCTCGTGAAAAGGAGTTGCCTTTTGTTAATGTGCCACGAAACGCGATGATGTAAGATGGGGTTGATTCTGAAATTGGATTTTTGAATTTGTAGATAGCACCGAAGATGCATGAGTCAGCATCGTCAATGAGTTGACTGTGTAAGTCAAAGTTGAAAAACTGCCACCATGGCGGTGCTAGTGGCGGCTGGCGGTTTTCCTGGCGGTCTCGTTCTATGATATACACGCCTTGAACTAAACATGCTGCAACAGATCTTCGGTGATCTGGATTAGTCCTGACATGACATCACATCACATCAGAACAGGTTATACTGTGTTTGAACAGGAGTAGTGTGGGGAAAAATTGTAATTTTGTGTCCCACCAAAAGCAAGAATTAAGAAAAGAAAGGTAAAAGTTACCAGTCAATGGTAGTGAGGTGTAAGGGACCTGAAAGCTCGAAAATTTCTCTATCTGAAATAGCATCGAAGTTCGTTGTGGTGGAACCTTGGTTCTCAATTTTACTGAGTTAGAAACGAAGAAAACAATTAAGCATCTGTTGAATCAAATTAAATCATTGCATAAAATGCATTTTCTCTGAAATCGAATTCAAAATCTGGGAATTAGTAATGAAGTATCTGGTCCTCTGTACTTAAATGAAGAACAAAGCAGCAGCCTATAAAGGTATGCATCAAGGGTTGTAATGCATGATTCACTGGTGCATTCAAGCATCAATGAAAGAGGAAGACAACCATTAGTGAGTAGATAGAAGATCAAGAGTGATTGGATCCAATCATCCAAGTAGAAATTTATTTTCCCCAAATTGAAACCACTTTAGGATCATCGGAGTATTTTTTACAAATATGTTTCATCAAACACGTTTCTGTTTAATTACAATAATAGTGAATTGTGAATATAACCTAGATCAAACAATTAAAAATTCTATTCCGAAGTTGTAACGTCTGTGAAAACTGAGATCGTTTACAAATTTGTTCATTTCACATCAACTTCCGTTTGAAAACCCCAACATTGAAAAAAACACAATAAATTCATGTGATCTCATCAAAACCCAAGGACAATGCAGTAATTAGGTTTAAGGAAAATGGAAAAGGAATCGAATCGAGATTAAACGAAATAAAAATTACCGTCTTTCTATGTATAATAGATAAAGTCAAACAAAATGTACCTAAGACTCATGAGGAAGATCTGCGAGGAAGTTGCAAAAAACTTCTGTGATTACTTTGATGAAATAAGATCCGTTTGAATCGATTTCAAATTTCAATATGCCAATCGATTTCCGAGCGATGAAAAAGGATGATGGAGATAGACGTCGTTTTGAATCGGTTTGTATGGGTGTCGAGTGGCCTGTTACCTGTAACTTCCTTCCCGCAAAGAATGGCGTGCGGGTTCATAAGTACTCTATTTTTTGAATGACAATAATTAACACACATATATTTAATTTACATCGTTAGGGATAGTGACATTTTAGGTTAATTTCATAAAGGCTAATAAGTTTTATAATTTTTTGGTTTAAATCCATTACAACCTTCCCTTTTTTACATTTTCCTCAATAATATATATATACTACTCATATAATATACGAGTTGTTTTTTTTAATTAATATATTTTGTTAAATATTACATGTTTAATAATTTACAAAACTAAATTTGGAAAACAAATATCAATATTAGCCGTAAATGAACTAATTTTTGCAAGGTTTATTCAAATTCTCGTGAATTCAAAATGGATTAACCGAAAATTATGTTTTTCAATCAAGAAAGTTGATTTGAATATAAATTGAATTTAATACATTAATTGATATATTACGTGAGAATTTATGGAGAAATTTAAGTTTTATTAGTTTCTTTATTATATTTCTAGATTATATTCTTTTATAATTTAATAACAAAGCCAAAAAAAACTATAATTTATCAAGTGGGGTTAAATGAAATTGAAAAAATTAAAAAAATATCATGTGACATATTGAATTAAACGATGATATGTGACAAAAAACCTTTATTTATTCGGTAGGATATATAAAAATTCGTTTTGAAAAAAATCTTTAATTTTTATTTTTTTCAAGAAAACTCACATTTAACAAACTTTTTCGTTTAAACTAGTTTTTATTCATTATTCGCTCATAGGACCATGTTCTTGTTGTTACTACCGATGATTATTTTGTTTTTGATAACAAAGATGGTAGACACTCGAATATATTTGTGCGATAAAGACGGAGGTTCAATTATAGATGTAATTTATCCATAAACCATATATATGATGACACTCCCATACCTTGTGATAAAAAACATCATACCGAGACACATGTGATTAAAAAAAACATCATATACGGAACATGTTTTACATTTAGATCTTATTTTTCATGTTTTGTAGATCTAAATTACTTAGATGGGAATAAATTACTTAGAGTATAACTACATCCGATGGATTTACGATTCTAATATACGGAATTAAAATATAAGAGGGTTGTTTGAGATGATAACCCGACACACTATTACATTTACACCACTTAAACTTGTATTACCCACATTTGGAACCCATTACTAACCGGGGCGGAATGTCTACCATAAAGGGTCATAGCCATCCCACTTTTTCATTAGTATGTGTTTATATATTGAAATAATGAAATTATTTCGTAGAACTATACTTTTTTAAACACATAAAAGAAGGAAACAAGATATAGTAAAAAATAATAATAATTTTAAACAATGTCAAAGACTATGTTTGTTGGGTATGAGAACTACCCATTGTGGGCTTTTCAAGCCATATAAAACATAAAAAAAAAAAAAAAATACAAAGAAATCTATGATCAAATCGGCTGATACAACTTGATCACATGTCACAATATAAGGTCGTCACGAGTACTCTCCACGCCAACAACTTGATCACATGTCACAATATAAGGTCGTCACGAGTACTCTCCACGCCAAGGTACGTGGAGAGCTTCCAAGTCAGCCACCACAAATCACCATAGTACTCTCCACCTTGAAGAAGAGAAAGAAATGAAGAAAGAGAAAAAGAAGTCTAAGAGAGAAGAAGAAGATAATTTTGCATTGTGGTTCGTCCTCCCCACCACAATCAACCATGACAATGAGCCACCACAGAACACGGGGTGATGTTCAACATTGGGGTGGTGTTCACCTTCGTGGTGGGTGCCACCTGGACAACCACGAACCTCCGTGTTCGGTACTCCGGACAACAACACCGATTATGATCATTATTTTTTAGGACGACGACTCACACACATTCTAATTTAATCTTAAATTACTCCTATGTCCTCATACACAAGACTTGAATATTCAATTCTTTTAGGGGTATCTCGCCATACTATTAGACCAAATGCATATCGGTTATTATGGATCATAATTATCCTTTTCAAATTCCTAGTCTTATGAGGATTTTCAAAAAATTTTAAACTTTCAGCCGAATTAAACTCTTCTAAATCATAGTATACCTAATGGTGAGAATTCAGAGAGTTATTTCTAGAAATTTGTTTGACTAATCTCAAATGTCCATTTTATATCTTTTTGTATTTGTAAATTTTCAATTTGCACTTCAATTTCGATTTTGTTTCTTTGTTTTTGCTTTTTTTTTCTTCCCAATGAAAGACGTATTTATATGTCTATGTGACTGTGTGCCTATGTAATTGGAGTATTGGACGATACCAGTTGATTTTTAATTTTTATTATTTTTGGATATTCACTATCATACAATTTGGTTCTCATTTCGTAGTTAACATGTCTTTTATTATTTTATTTGTTTTGTTTTGTTAACTTTGTATTTTGTTTTGTAGGGTTAAGGGTTTTGCTTTTAGTTTGTTATTATTTTTTAAGGTTAATAAAGGTTTGATTTTATTTTGTTATTTTAGTCAAATTTTACTTTGCAACCATCATGTTATTTTGTTTTAGTTAATTGCTAACTAATATCGTTATATTATGTATACAATTTGTTTCAAAAATTTGGTTCCAACTCTCTTAACAAATATGTTCGTGTTATGGCTATAAACGATATTGGAGCTGCTGAGTTTGTGGCATCTCTAGCTTTTGCATATCAAGCATTGTGGCTACTTAGAATCTTTCAAGTTATTGGTTTGAAGCAAACACAAAGGAAACATTATTATATAATGTAATACAACATCGAAAATAAAGTCACCTAAGAATTCGATTCTTCACTAATAAAGAAGCAAACATATTGAAAGAAGCAAACATATTGAGATTTAGATGGATCTTGTCAATAATCATCTGGTTGAGTTAGTTGACTACATCACTACAGTACCAAAGTGCACATTATTTATTATTTATATCATTTAGGATAAGCTATAGATTATCCAAATGGTAGTGGTGTGTGTGTGTTTGTATCATTTTGCTTCCTATGAAAACATATATATATATATATATATATATATATATATATATATATATATATATATATATATATATATATATATAACATAATAGAATATCGTTACTCTTCGTTTTGATAGCCTTTGGGGTTTTTGCTGGCCCAATTCCATTGATCTCTACACATCTCTTCTAATCCATACTTTGCCCTGCAGTTTACCACCCAAATACTTGAAAAACAAATAGCTATTTTTTTTTTTTCGATTTTGGTCGCAAAAATACATTCAATGGCAATTTTGGTCCTTATTTCAGGTTTTTGTAAAGTTTCTATTTTGGTCCGCAATTCAAGTAAAATGATTATCTGTTGCGACCAGAATTGCAAAATTTAGATATACTAGTCATTTTACTTGGAAGACAAACTTAGAATGTTACATGAACCTTAAATAAGGGCCAAAATGTAATTTGCTAAAAATAAAATAAATAGATAAACAAAATCCACCCTTGAAACTTACTTCCAGTTCAATTCACGTTCTGCCTTTGCTGTTGACGCGTATATAATCTCAGCATCACCACGCCTTCTCCCTGTCTTTTCCATCGGGATTTTCTGCATTTTTTCAAATATTAATTATTTATCCAAGAATATAAAAATTATTTATATCCAAAAGAATTAAAGAAAAAGAAGTATAAGTACCTTTCCTGAAGCCTTTTCAAATGCAGACACCAGCTCCAAAACAGATGTCCCTTTACCTGTCCCCAAGTTATAAACTTCACAACCTAAAATAACAAATCATTAATTAAATTAAAACATCCTTTCTTACAAATATTAAAGTTTTTTTTTTTTATCATAATTCATAACATAAAAATGGCAAAAGAGACGCACCTATTTTAGGATCAGAGAACTTTCTCAATGCAGCAGCATGTCCATCTGCTAAATCTACAACATGGATGTAATCGCGAACCTGAAAAAAAAAATTATTACAAGTATTGCCACCATTTCAAGATAATTAAAAATAAAAAAGCATACCCCAGTTCCATCTTTTGTTGAGTAATCAGTCCCATATACTTGGAGTTTAGGTTGCCTCCCAACAGCAACTTGTTGAAGAAATGGCATAAGATTATTTGGAATTCCATGAGGATCTTCACCTATTTTGCCACTAGGATGCGCTCCAATTGGATTAAAAAATCGCAATAATAATATTTTCCAATCCGGATCTGAGCTGTATATATCACGGCATATCTCCTCAATCATCAGCTGAAAAAATAATTAAATCTATTAATTTCTTTACTTTGTCCCATTAATTGTCAGGTATTGTATACAGAAGGTTTGTTTCTTTTCTAAACTGAATAATCAGTGTAAATGACCGTTTTACCCTTATATATAACCAAAAATATCTTACCTTGGTCCGTCCGTATGGGTTGACCGCAGACAAAGGAAACTCTTCTGTGCATGGTACCTCCTTTGGTGACCCATAAACAGTAGCAGATGATGAAAACACAAGCTGAAATTAATGTTCAATCAGTAATTAGCTGAAACATGACTTAATCCAGTAGGTTAGGTTATGGAGTATAACTTGTTAGGAGTTTGACATGATTTATATTTTTCTAAATGTTTTTTTAGATATTAATGAATGTGGGCCTATGAGTAAATGAGATACCTTTTTGCATCCATAGGCAGTCATGACTTGCAACAGAGTTAAAGTACCAATGATATTGTTGTTGTAGTACATCAATGGCTTCTCTACACTTTCGCCAACTGCCTTTAATCCAGCAAAATGTATAACAGCATCAAACCTACATAACATAGCCACCAGAATCTATTAGATTACTTCAATACAAATCACATACATGATATACGAATAGTACTGGTGAAAACAAGCTTACTTTGTGGAGGCAAAAAGCTTCTCTAGTGCAGGCTTATCCCGGATGTCCATCTGTAGCAAACGTATAACATCATTTCAAACCAAACATATAATCAACCCAATTTCCTAAAATATCAAACTCAATTTCATGCTGAATAGTGAATATCAACATAACACAGTGAAATCATAGCGAAATTGGAAACTCTATATCCTCAATTCAATTCTGATTGATCCTGGATTTGAAAAACTCAAGGGCTGACATTTTCCCAAGTAAAAACAGATGCAAAAGCAAACTTAAGCATCTAATTGAAGAAATAAATAGTTAAGCAAGTAGTGAAAGGGGAAAACAACCTTGTGAAAAGATAGGTTTAAAGCGCGATCACCGGCGAGTTCTTGAACTCGATTGATAGCGACTTCAGAGGAATTATCGAGATTGTCAACCACCACCGCCTTATAACCGTCTAACAGCAGCTGCAACACGGTGTGACTCCCTATATATCCAGCACCACCAGTTACCAATATGCACAACGGCGGCTCCATTTGAGATGCGTATTACGGAGAATCTATGGAGGTTTATGAAAGAGAGATGAGTCGGTAGATGGAGTTGACAGATAGGAGACGGCAGACTGACATGTGTTGAATCTGCAGGTGAGATTGTATGTGCGTTTATAAGCATTAAAAGAGTGGGACGGATCGGAAGAATGAAAAGGATTAGGGTTTCTAATCGCAATTTGAGGAAGAAAACAATTGAAGTCAACAGAAAGTTGAAATCTATAGAGGCGTGGAGATGTCTGGAAGCTTGTTGCATTATTAGTCAACTAATGAGAGGGAAAATGCAAATTGAACACAAGCACACATTGTTCGTCTTTATCTTCTGTAGTACTTTTGACTTTTTATTATCTCTAATCCCTGATATATATATATATATATTAAAAATAATATATATTAGGGTTGTTCTATACGAAGGACAGCCTAACTAATTTTATCCTCTTAATATCAATCTAATCAACATTTTTATTTTTGATTTCTATTATTTTTTTCTTTTTTTCTTTTTTTTTCCTTTTTGTTTTTTTGTTGTTTTTTTATTTTATATTTTATATATTATTATTATTATTATTATTATTATTATTATTATAAATTTTGATAACCATATAAATTCGGATAACATTTTAAAATTCCGACAACATTATAAATTCGGACGACCTTATAAAATTCAAATGACTATATAAAATGGAACAAAAGTAAAATTTACTTTTAATCCACATAATGCATCATGCAAATGTAATACTAAATCAATTAATATATCCATAATAAATAAAGACTTTATTGTTATTCCGTTTTAAATATTTGTTTAATTTTATTATGTCGTCCAAATTCTAAAATATCATCTGAATTTTAAAACGTTGTTTGAATTCTATATGGTTATCAAATAATAATAATAATAAAAAGAATTAAAAACAATAAAAAAAACTAGAAAAAAAACAACAAATGACAAAAAAAGTCACATCAAACGGATAAGATTAGAAAATGATGAAGAGTATTTATAGAAAAACCATATATATTAAAAGAGATGCTTTTATTCTAAAATAAAAAAAATATTTTATTATATTTTATTCATATATGTTTTTTTTATCTTTGGATCTTTTTCTACATCGTTCTTGTCACATGACTCTTTCAACCCATTATAATTTCAAGCTCACATTCACTTCTACGTATTATCCCATACATGCACTTGTTGACATTATAATCCAATAAATCAACGAAGAGATTTAAATATCACTTACTTTAGCTAAGAAATCAGAAATTGTAATTATATCCAAGATTATGATCCAATAAATCAGCAAAGAGATTTAAATATCATTTACTTTAGCTAAGAAATCAGAAATTGTAATCATATCCAAGATTAAAACGATGGCTAGGTCATTTCAGTTCATAGATACCTCCAACCCAACAACCTTGTTTTCTGTTGCATGTACTTGAAGATTTATTTGATTTGTGGCATCGAATTTATGTTCATATATACCTTCAACCCATCAAGTTTAGCGTTAGTCGTAGTTGTTTGAGGATACCTTCGATTTTTGCTAATAAATTGATGATTATTCTATTCTTACCGGTGATTGCAGGTTAGTTTTGTAAGTTTTTCTTCCTGTATACTACTAGTGGATGGCTATTCATATTGCTCTATTTGTTTGGATATTCCATTTTTTTAGTTCATCAATGTGACAATCCATACTTTCGCTCCTCTAAAGAACAGTTTTATTTCATAATTTTAGTCTTAAATTACATTGATTAAAATATTTGTTCATGTGTGAAGAACAATATCTGATGAATTTTTTGTAGCCATTGGTTCTATAGGAAGCATGATTAGGTTGTTCAAAACCAGGGATAGGAGCTAAAATAGTTAAACGCATTTGTCGATCATCATCATTTCGAGTTTAGGTAAACTGTTTTAGTCTCGGGTTTGTTTGACTTAATGAGTTCTTGCTATCATTTTATGGGGCTTGGTTACTATGTTTCTTTATGTGTGAGATTCATACTACTCTGATTCTAGGTTTTGGTTATTATACACTATATTCATATTACTCATATTCTTTTTCTTATGTTGTGGTGCAAGTCAAATGAATCAAAAAGATTATTAGAGGAACTAATTGCATAACAAATCGGGTATCTATATATGTGTATGACAAATTGGGTGTAACATCCTAAAATTTAGGGCCAAAAAAATCATTTTTAAATAGATTATAACATACCAATCATCGGTATAAAATGTTCATAATGATATCCCATGTCACAATCAATATGTCAATAATCTAAAACATGTCACCATAAAAACCATTTTGTCCAAAAGTAAAATGATTCGGAGTAGACTCCCAGGAAACTCCATGCGGAAAACATGTGTGTGTGTGTGATACGCTACTACACCGCCGGCTCCTTCCCCTTAGACGAAGAGGTACCTGAAACCAAAAATGAAACCGTAAGCACGAAGCTTAGTGAGTTCCCCTACCATACTCATAGCGCATAGTCATCGGTATCTTTCAACCAGTAACCGGGAGCTACCCTCCCTTTCGGTATCTTTTAACCGGTAACCGGGAGCTACTCCCCTATTTGATATCTTTCAACCGGTAGCCGGGAACTATCCTCCCCTTCGGTATCTTTCAACCGGTATTCGGGAACTAACCTCCCTTTCGGTATCTTTCAACCGATAATTTGGGACTATTCTACCCCTACCCCTATCACATATTACATTTCATAACATATTGGTTTCATGATAACATACATAGGCATACTGAGTCACATAATGGCATATCATAAGCATACAACTATACATACATGGGTTTGTCCACCCCTTCGGTATCTTTCAACCGGTAACTGTCTTCGGTATCTTTCAACCGGTAACCCAGGGTTAGTGCGCCCTACTACCACTAACACATACTCAACACAAATATAGCAACTAGATAATTATCACAAAGATAACCATCCCACCCATACTATCCTACTGGTGGGCTGACATTGGTGTCGTAGACCCACCCCTACTGGAAGGTAAATTACCTCGTAAGGCTGACTGCTAAAAAGCTGATCGACAGATGTCCGACTGCTGCTCTGGTGATCCTCTAGCTATAATTCCCATAAAACACTTAGTCAGACACTGATAATTATTATTAGGGTAAAATAATTATTTTACCCCTGACCAAGTCAAAGTCAAAGTCAAATTCAAAGTCAACTTCCAGTTGACCTGACTTGCCGAGTTGGGCCTTCAACTCGTCGAGTCCCTACCCTTCATTTGTCCTTCTTCACGCTTCTACTCGCGAGTTTAGCAATGACTCGACGAGTTCTCCTTCCAAAACAACCTCGAATAAACCTTCATCCGACTCGACGAGTTTTCCGACTCACCGAGTTCACCCTCGTCCTTCAAACAGTCCTGACCTTGACTCGCCAAGTTGTATGAACAACTCGTCGAGTTCATCTTCAAAAGTTGGGAGATTGCCTTGGACTCGCCGAGTCCGCTCATGCACTCGTCGAGTCCTTTGAACTCCAGGTCTATGGCTAAGTCCAATATGTTGGGTCACTCCCATGGACCCTCTAAAACCCTTCTAACACTCAACTGGGTTCCTTTGAACCCTAACAGAAAAGGGGAGTCAAGCCTCGGACTCGCCGAGTCCCAAGAACAACTCATTGAGTTAAGGTTGTCCAAATCTCATTTCTCAATTTTTGATGTACAACACTTGTCCAAATGATAAATCTAGGCTCCTAAGATCGATCTAGCACGTAAAGTTACAAACTTTACGTGCATGCATGGGAGAATAAGCACAAAAGGCTCTAAAAGAAGCTCTTAAAATGCATGGGGCTTTCTAAGGCCCTAAAGTCAGCCACTTTATGTCTTGTAGTCCCCTAAGGACCTTGGATCTGGATTCTTACCCTCAACCATGCTTGCATTCATAGTTGGTTACCAAAAATTACTCCTTAAAGCCCTAATTTACTCCAAAAAGGGATCTAGAACATGAAGGAGCAAGGTATAAAATTTTTACCTCCAAAGAACTGTAGATGCGGCACAAACTCGAGATCCCTTGATTTTCCCTTGGCTCTTCAAGCTTTTCCTTCCTTCTTGTGATCACAAACCACCAAAATCCACCAAAGAGGCCTTAGATCTTCACCAAAGACGATTAGGGTTTAATGTGAGGTGTTCTAAGAGCATAAGGGACGATGGAGGCTGTATAAGGTTGTTTAAATAGGGTGCAAACCCTCAGATTAGGGTTTTGTCCAACCAGAGCCTACTCGTCGAGTCTTGCCACCGACTCGACGAGTCCGCCACTTAAACCCCGGGTCCAAACCGCTACTACTCAAGGAGTTGGGCCATCAACTCGCCGAGTCTCAGCCCAAAATGCGAAATAAATACTCAATGAACTACATACCAGGAACCGGGTGCTACATTGGGTATAAAGAGTTGACTTCTTTTCCAACATTATGCTCTTAAATATATCGCTCTCCATAATTCTTTAGGTTATCAATTAATGTTCAATGGGTTTATTTAACACCAACATGTTTTTTATTCATTTCAGTCCATTAAGTTATCAGAGTTTTTGCAACCGCCTTTTAACTGTTCGACGAAAGGTCTGGCTTAAAACCGTCATTATAATCAATTGAATAAAAAAGATTACATGATGTAGAGAAATGTATTTCCAAACCTTCATTTTATATGTTAGTTTGATACTTTATGTTTTGATCCCTGGATTTTATAGCTACAAAGAACCTCAAAAGGTGTTAAAATTTTGGGGTAAGACATCACTTGGAATTCTGAGAATTGTGATGAACACTTTTAAATTGAAGTATTTGGGTAGTACTCTCAAATCTTCAATTTGATAAGACTCAGAAGTTTGAGAGACAAGAACTAAGAATGTTAGATGGTGTGATTTTCGAGTGTAGCGGAAAATGATGACCAACAGATGCTTACAAACCACCATTGTTTGAAAAATATCAATAATAGTTTTTTGTGTCAAAATTGTCCAAACTGTCTCAAGACAATTTGTAATAGTCATAAACTGTCATAAAACCAACTCAATTGCAGCCATGGGTTGCTGCCCCTTAGACCCCGCTCCAAGGGGCGCTGCCCTTGGACCCCTGTTTGTTCAGGGGTTTCGTCCCTCAATGACAGTCTACTTTGAATCTGGAACAAACTTAAACAAATGCACACTTTCCACCTCCCTTGTTTAACATTTGTCAAGATTATATTTGCTCAACAAAGTAATCCATTACACTTACGTACACATTTGTGGTACAAATCACAAACAATATATATATCTTATTGAGGAAGTTCAGAAAAAAAAAATTGTAGTGATCGAGAGGCTCACCAGTGCACCACCAACACCTTTCTTTCTTTATTACTTTTTATTTAAAAATATTGGGT